GTGTTAGTCCTTCCCACAGCCTTTAGGTTTAGTTTTGTGTTTTAGAATTTTTTGGGTTTATTTGGCCCTCCTCTGTTTCTGTTTGCCCATGTTGATCATTAGATTCACCTGTCTTCTCTCCAGCTCTCACTTCACACACCTGCCGCCATTTTCCCTAATCACCTCTCCCTGTGTATGTAAACTCTGTCCTGTCTGTGTCTGGTGTCGGTTCATTGTTGTTTGCTGGTCAGCATTGTTTAGTGCTCTGTGTGAACTTCCGTTCCTGTCCCCAGTTTGATATCCAAGAGAGTTTTTTTTTCTCAGCTTTCTGGGTTTTTGGATTTTGGCTCCCTGCCCTCTTGGATTTATTTTTTTTGTTTTACCCCTACAAGTAAAAGTATTTTACTTTATATCAACTCCTGCCTTCGTGTCATCCTGGGTTACTGCATTTTTGGGTCCTAACCATCCTTTCAACGTGACAGGGAGCAATTAACATGGACACAAGACTGAACAGAATGGAGAGACAGGGCAGAGTGTGACACCTATTTTGTGTCATCTGCATCTAGAGAGAATTGGACGGGCTATGTTAGGCTATGAATCTTTGTCTATGGTGGGGATACAGACCTTTTAGACTTTTTAAATGAGCTATCTAATCCTATCTCGTTCCCACAAATTAGTAACTTGTGGCCCTGCATTAATAACTTGTTGCATTAATAACTAATGTTTTTACTTGATGTCACCAGACAGTAGGGGTTGTATGAACTAGTCGACTAGTCGACTTCACTGCTCTGTAATGACTTTTTATGCCTGTCATTGACTAGTCGTTGTCACGTGATAATGAGCGACAAGATGCAGTCCTCGGAAAAGACAGCAGGTGACAAGCTCCTGCGTGTCGGGAGGCAACGCGCTGTGCCAGAGCGTCTGTACTGGCACCCGCCGTAAAATGGACATTTAACCAAATTGTGACCTTTACCCTCTTGCAATTTAACCTTCTCCTCACCCCCATCCTAACCTTAACCAGCTTGCGCATGCAAAGCTCTGATCCAGACATCTGCGTCCTGAGCACGGCCACAGTAAAATTATCAAATCAGGTCTCGCCACCTCAAAAACTAATTTAACACGCGATCGTTCATGTCGGCTCATTTCCTTTCATGTTTTCTGTCTTTTATTTGCGCCTGATGCGTTTCGCTGTGGAGCGGGACGCATCACCTTGTCATCCGGTGATGCACCAATCACTGATGCGGCCACCAAGCAGCGAGCACTCCGCTGTTTTTGCGGTCGGTAGATCTTTTAGAACTGCAGCTCAAAGGTAACTCATAAGGTGAATATATATGAACCCAGGTAGCAGTTTTTCTTTAGGATTGAGAGGAGATGCAGGAAGATAATAAACAGGCAGGACAGAAAAATAGTCAAATAAAAACAAGTTAGTTTTTGTACCTGCTGTTGCAACAAACAGACACCATTGAAGGTAATCAGAAGTGAGGAACAGAAAATGAAATAATTATTTTAATGTTTAGAGCAGCAGGAACTCCGAGAGGCTGCCGGCGCATCAGTGAGTTTGCGGTTGCTGCGCAGAGGGAGGGGGGAGAGGGCAGAAGCAGAAACTACCGTTGTTAAAAGAGATGTGTTTAACTTTGAAAATGTGGGTGCAATTTTAATTGTCAAAAACTCCAGCGAACCAACTGACCCCTGCGCCGCCTCAGGTGTATGAGGTCATCAACGACTAGTCAAAGTCGACTCGATTTTCATTACTTGACAGTCAACTTTAAAAAAAATTAAGTCATACAGCCCCTACCAGACAGGTACCGTGAGCTTGCCTGAATGACAAAAAACATCTCATTTTCCACCTTTAATTATGTACTCAAGGACTCCTCTGACTGAGTTCCTGTGTGCTGGTCACACCTCCACACCACTCAACCTGACAGCAAAGATTAAAACGATTCTGCATTCTGCAGGTCCCAATGCCTCCCAAGATTTTGTTTTGGACAAAATGACAATAACCCTAAAATCTATCTCTAATACTATCTACCTATATTTGTTGAGTAGTGCATGTAACTTACCCACAATAGCGTAGGATCCAGGCACTATCGGGTAGATGGATCCATTTGTGTGGATCCCATCTGGAAACCACGCTGCCATGCCTTCTCCAACAAGACGACCAAAGCCTGCCCCTACAGTGCAGGAAAACAAAAACAATCCACCACTAAAGAAAATCCCCAATCAGCATTATTGGTTGACATGATTTTAGTATTTATCTTTATCAGCTAATACAAAGTACCTTTTCCAATCAGGAAAATGTATTCTATCATTTTTGTCTTAAACTGCTAATTTCTACACTTAAATGATTGTATTTAATAATAACTTTTGTGTTTCTAGTTTTTTTGTTAGTTGTCTCTGTTGTGTACAGAAGTATCTTCTTAAGTTTCAAAGGCTTTTATTGACAGTCACACGTCAATATCTACAGGTCATTCTTTTCCAAGACCCCTGCAGTTTGTCCTGGCAGCATGTTAAATGGTAAACGGTCTGTATTTGTAGAGCGGCTTCTAGGGTTCTGCAACCCCCCAAGACACTTCACAACACCATCAGTCATTCACCCATTCACACACACATTCACACCCTGGTGATGATGAGCTACAATGAAGCTACAGCTGCCCTGGGGCACACTGACAGAAACAAGGCTGCCAAGCACAGGTCCGTCTGACCACCACCAGCAGGCAAGGAGGTTTAAGTGTCTTGCGCAACCTACAACCCTCCGATTACTGGACAACCTGCTCTACCTCCTGAGCTACTGTGTTCTGTCAATCAGCTTGTGGACCTAATCCTGACTAATGGCAACCTGTTCTTTCATCATCAATGCTTGATGATGTCAGAAGTAGGTTTTTTTGTTTGTACATTTGCTTCTTGATGATTGACCACATCCTTCATTTGACGAATGAGTGTGGGGAGTTCCCTGGCTGCTGCTGTTACTGCTCTTCTTCACAGCAGGCCCCTTGCCCTGTCTTGCTCTGGCACCCTGCCTCCGCATCGTTAGAAAACTATCCTGGTTCACAATACTGAACCTCTTTCCTTGAAGTTTTTTGTAATCCGACAAATAATACATTTAGAGGCAATCTTAGTCACAACAATATCCTTACTTTTTTATGCAATGCAATGATGGCTTCACATGTTTCCTTGAAGGTAACCATGGTTACCAGGAAGAACAATTATTTCAAGCATTACATTTTAATGCATCCAGACTGTTAATCCTACTCAGCATCACATGATCTCCAACATTTTCTTGCTTGTTCCTAAAAAGATTATTGAAATCATGTCAAAAAATCCTTTTGAGACAATAATGATTTTCAGTGGACATTTATTTTTTAATGGCAAACAAAGACTTTGTAATCTGGTCACTCTTCATAATACCTGCAAATTGTCATTAAAGCTAAAGCATCAAACTGTGTGGAATCCAATATTCTCGAAACATTTGGCCAAACTTTAAATATACAATTTACATGTTACATATTTTTATGTGTGCCAATAAATGTTATAGCCCCACTGAAGTGTGACATCATGCGCCCACACCCCCCAGCTGGAGGGCAAAAAGCTGGAACCTCAATAAGTTAGTTGTCAATGAACAGCTAAAATCTATTAGTGTGGTTAACACATGTAGAGCTGTAGGCTGCACAAGTACAGAAAAGGGCAGACAAGTTCAATTTTACAGATTTCCAACTGATAAAATACGCTGAAGGCCACGGTTAACAGCCAATTCTAGTGGATAAACCGCCCACAACCTGGCAAACAAAGTTTTGTGACATAATATATGAAAACATCTGCCCCACATGTCCAGAAACAAACAAGTCATAGCCATCTAATGACTTCTAAGCTTTGGTTGTATAATTGTGCATGGGTGTGGGAGAGAGGAGCCAGGTAGAACCCACCAACTGAGTGCTGGCAGCAGCAGGGAGGAGCTGTAGGCAGATCAGTCCTCAGAAATAAATGCGTGAAAGTGACAATGCCGGTGTGGTGTGTAGTTCTGTTTGACCCGCGGTAACGGTCTTGTTACAATAATTACACAAAACGTGTTGTGTAATTGGAGCTGCTAATGTTGTTCACTAGTGTTGCTGTTTACGTTACTCATCAGGTTAAAAGGAACATCTGTTAATCTCTAAAGATGAGTGGTGCCACGGCAATCATTTTGTCTGCTTAAATAGCAGAGATACAGCTCTGGATAACGGCTGGAGACGGGGTTTACGCCCTCCAGCTAGTGTGGATGTGGGCAGGATGTCAACAACAACTTCCAAAGGGTCTAAAACCTAAACTAACTGGATGACTTTTTCGAAATAGGATGTTCCACTGTGTTTATGGTTGATACTTCATGCTGTGGTATTTAACTTTTAGGTTTTAATCAAATCAGTGTGTTGTCACAATTTGCTTCTGTAGCTCAGGTGTGTCTAGCCCTTGTCCTCGAGAGCATGTTTGAGTTGTTTCTCTGCTCAAAAACACCTGATTTAAAGATTGAATTACTTATTCATCATATCATTAAGCTCTGAATAAGGCTGTTAATCACCCACTGAATAACATCAGGTGTGTTGAAGCAGAGAAAATCTCTGCTTCAACACCTGATTTTAATCAGTTGTGTTAGGGGAGGATTGGGGCTGGACACCCCTGCTGTGGCTGAATATGATCTCTGCCTTACTTTGTTTCTCCAAAATAAACTACTATACTGTTTTAATTCTCCAATTCACAATGGTGAGGAAATGTTTATTACCAACGATGAATGTAGGCATGAAGGCTCCATAGGGTACTGGCATAGTGATGGACAGGACAGTCATCAAGAACTAAGGCAAAAAGCATAAAAAATAAAAATAACAAAATAGAAAAAGTCATAAATGAATGAACAAGGTTGCATTTTAATTAGCTAGAGCCCAATCTAGAGCGCCCATCAGTCACGCCTGATGAAGGCAACAGGCCGAAGCCGAGACTGTCAGCCCAAAAGGTAAAACCAAAGCTTGTACTGCTCTGTGTATAGATCAGAACTAAAAACGGAATTGAAATGATGATTATTACAATAATCTAGCTTGGATATCTCATAAAAATTCTATTTAAGCCCTAGCAGACAGCACATTGTTGTTGCTTTGATGTACATGGTGTCCCTGTGCAAACAAGATTTAGATATTTTTCTCTGATTACCCTATTCCTTTCTGTAATTGACAGTCAGCACAATTGTTCATGTCTTGTAACTGAACATACCTCACAGTAATTACAGTATTATGTCTAAAATATCAGCATTAAAATACACAATTTCATATTATTACACACAACAGAGTTTCTAAATATTATATAGGTTATAAAGAACTGAAAACGGTTGTTTGGTGGACTTGCAGCATGAAGAGATCTTTTTTTTTAAACGATTTCAATAGATTTTGACATGGTCTGGTAGAAAGTCAGGGGTCTAAAGAGGCTGATCCGCTCTCAGCTCATGATTGTGGGACCTTGTCGCTTTAATTATGATCAATGAATTAGATAACACTGCTGCGTAAAAAAAAGTTCGTTTTTTTTAAATCACGGCTTGAATTTCAAAAAGGTGGAACATTTGTCATTGCACGATTTCCCGGTACAACAATTTCACTGACGCACACAACAAAAAAGCCTTACTCTGCTATTAAATTAGAAGATGGCCCAATCTCAGTACTCACACTTCCACCCTTGCGCACTTCGATTGCGCGATCACGCAATTTGTAAAAAACACGTCCTGAAAACTACAAAGTCATTCATGCAGACATTTTTAAGAGATCCTCTCAGATTTAAATACTGCTGCTTGCATGCAGCGCTTGTTTTATTGGTTTGCTCACCTGAAGATTTATAAAGTCGAGGTAAACTAATTACCAAATTAATATACATTTGTGCAGCAGTGACATCATCAGACAGAATGATGTTTTGCTTTTAGCAGTAGTTTATGAAAGTAGTCAGACGAACAGCTGGGCTCCGTGGTTTCACCACTCTAAACAATCAAACGTGTCTTGACCACTCCTAAAACTTTCTGATAAGTTCTAAACAATTCTGTCGGTTTACTATTTTTTTCTGAGACGAGTGACTGTCTATGCGTTACATATGCTACTATATATCAGCTGTGAAGTGTGTCGAAGCAGTCGTTAGCTGATTGGAGCTAAAGTGGTGAATGTTTACATTCAGGGCCAGTGAGGAACAAGGAAGATGTGATCAGGCCACAGACCTGGAGACCCGCAGATTTGCTGCTGTAGGCGTGACTCTGCGCTATACCCTTCTAGAGGTGAGAGCGGGACTTCCCATGTAAGGAATGTCTGCTCACCTGTTCACCGCTCAGACATCAGATCATTAATTGGATCATTAAAGGCTCAGGAACGCAATGCAGGTGTTTTCTATGTGCAATTATGAATTTTAGTTTATTGGGGTTTTGTCTCATATAACACAGTGACATTTGAATAATTACAAGGCATTGGAGTCGTTTTTAGAAATTAAGAGCTACACTTTACAACACCAATATCCATGTCTAATGTTTGAATCTCTGCCTCATTATTTTAAATAACAAAACAGTTTGGGGCAAATTTTCACGAACGATTAAAATGCGATTAATTAAGATTAATTAATTGCAAAGCCTCTAATAATTAGATTATTTTTTAATCGAGTCCCACCTCTAATGTATATACATGCACACTGTCAAAAAAGGTAGATTGTGTTTGTCTTCTGTTGTGTAATTTCATCCAATCAGCTCTTTCATTAGTGAATAAGATGATGTAAACAAAATATTTAAATAACTGCTGAGGAACAAAATTCAACAATACAGCAATAGAAATAGAATCTCACCATCATATTAATAAATTATGCTCATGATGTTTTAAAAACAAATGCAATCCTGGTTTGAGTCTTACCTTCGCGATAGTGAAAAGGGCCAGTGTCATGAAAACACTGTTTTGTGGGCTTTTCCAGACTTCAGAATGTCCAGTGTGGTCAGAGTCCCAGTCGGTCCCTTGTTTGGCCCAAGTCTGGTTGTCCAATAAATTCACCAGAGCCTCATTCTGGGCCAGCTGCAGATTACAATAAGTTATAAAGGTAAGGGGCAGCACTGGTTCCTCAATCTCAGGAGGAGACAATACATACTGGACAACCTTCCAATTACTGGACAATCCGCTCTACCTTCTGAACTACTTCTTGGTTGTAGATGTGCAAGTCACACGTATTTTTAAAAGGGATTTTTAAAAGTGCACCACCCCCTCAGCATAACATGAAAGGGTGCAGAATCCTGTTAATCACTCATTCATTTAAATCTGGTGTGTAGCAGCAGGGAAACACCAAAAATATGTAGTGTAGTGGGCACCGAGGACCATACATTCATTCATGTTCTGTATCCACTTGTCTATGCTGGGTCACGGGGGGCTGGTGAATATTTCCAGTGGTGTTCGGGCAAACAGACGAGGTACACCCTGGACAGGATGCCAGTCTATCTCAGGGCAGTGCAGAGACACACAGGACAAACAACCAAGCTCACACACACTCACACCTAAGGACAATTTAGAGACCAGTCAACCTGACAGTCTTGTTTTGGGACTGTTGGAGAAACCCAGAGAGAGCCCACATGTGAACAGGGATAACATGTAAACTCCATCCAGAAAGACCCCAAGCTGGGATTCAAACCTGGGACCTTCTTGCTGCAAGGCAACCATGCTAACTACTGCACCACTGTCCAACCAACACTAATGACCATGGTTAGGAAATTCTGGTCTAGCAAATGGATAGATGGAAGCGTGGTAAAGATTTGTTTTTACCTTTTAAGCTGATTCCTCAGAGCACCGCCGATGTTGGTGGCACTTCCCTCTCAGTTTATCTGCAGGTAGCAGAGGACGATATCGCCTTCTACTGCCCGCACCCTCCTCGCCAATGACAATGTCCCATTATTGATCAAATGTGCAAACTCCATCTTCTCTGTTCATGGTCCTGGGTCCACGTCCTATTTTTTCTACCACTTCTTTTTTCCATGTTTTGTATTTTGTTCTGTGTTTAAAGACCTGCGGATACCCATCATGGGCAATAAACAAAGGAAAACAACAAACAGCAGCAGATAGAAAAGATGAACCAATGCGAAGAACCAAAGTGCAGAAAGACAGGAACCAAAACCAGTAATATTCCTTCCATATATCAAAGGCGTAACAGAAAAAAATAATAACAACGATGAAAAATCACAAAATAAACACACCAGCAAAACCACACATGACTAGTATACCCATAAGAAAAGATATCCATAGGACTGTAAGAGTGAAGTCATATGTGAACTACCATGCAATAAAACGTACATAGGAGAAACCAGCCACTGACTCAACACACGAACATTAGAACATAGAAAGGAGTGTAAGAAGGAAGCAAGTCAAAGACACACAAGGGCAGCGAAACAAGAGGCAGAAAGTACAATAAAGAAGTTAGCCGTATCGGACCACTGCCCGGGCAAACAAGATAATGGACTGGGACAGAACAAGAATCATAAACGCAGAACCACAAAAATACTAAAGATGGCTAAAAGAAGAGATATAAATAATGAGACGTGGATCCAGGACCATGAACGGAGATGATAGAGCTTACACGTTGGATAGCTCTAGTGGCCTAGAGGTAGAGTGTCCACCCTGAGACTGGGAGATCAGGGGTTCGATTCCTGGTCGGATCATACCAAAGACTTTGAAAAAATGGGACCCAATGCCTCCCTGCTTGACACTCAGCATTAAGGGGTTGGATTGGGGGGTTAAACCACCAAATGGTTCCCGAGCGCGGCTGTGTCTGCAGCTCACCGCTCCCCCAGGGGATGGGTCAAATGCGAAGAACAAATTTCACACACACACCTGTGTGTGTGACAACTAATGGGACTTTAACTTTAACGTTGGATAGCTCATGGGACAATGTCATCGGCGAGGAGGGCACAGGCAGTAGATGGTGACATCGTCCTCTGCTGCCCGCTGATAAACAGAGAAGGAAGTGACGCCACCAACATCAGCACAACTCTGATGATGGCTACACTCGTCAGCTTAAAAGCAAATCCTTACTACACTATGTCTAGAATAGAACCAAGCAATGGAATTTGATGGGACACACAGAATTGTGTGTGAAAAAGAGCTCCCATAGAGCTCCCATACTCCTGTTTCAAGAAGCAAAGGTTAGTTGGAGGAAATCACAAACACTCCTTTGAGTCATCAGAGGGGCATAAAGACAACATGCTTAGCCATGTCTCCAGTAAACAGACAACTCAAGCATTCATTTACCTGTGAGCAAGATTTTACCTCAAAGTTAAACTACAGAAGTTCAACGCCATCAAAAGTTGTAATTAACACACACAGAAACGTGTAATTGTACCTTTCCAGCCATGAACTGTCCAAAGCCAGGGGGGAATGTTAGTGATGAAACAAGTAAAGTGACCAGAGCTGGATACAGGAGACGTCTGGAGGGAAGAAGAGTAACAGCCAAAGCATAATTTTCTCTTCTGCATTTCATCATTCAATCAAGAGATGAATAAACAGTGATGATACTAGTACTAGTTCAGACAAATGATATAGCACGTGTTTCTTCTACAGAGGCTGACAGAAATAACGGAGTTAGAGAACATTAACCCACATCTCTGCAAACTATTTCAATATAATTTATAAGAATGTTCTTTGTCCTGTTTGAAGAAGACAATAGTTAGAAAACAAAGAGTATAGGGATGTGTATTGGTGAAATGATGGCGATACGTATTACACTATGGGGGAGATGATACAATGTATCACGATACATTGCGGTAGATTCAGTCAGATGATATTGGCGATTTTTAGACTGAATTTATTATGGGAAAATTCAATAAACTGTCCAAACTGATGCTTAGCATGTTAAATATGAAGTATCTGAACCATAATAGAGGGATTTATATTTCAATGGTGGAAACAAAACCCATTGCACACTGCTGCCAACCAGCAGTCGGCATTTGAATTGCACCAAAAGGAAAGAAAATACACAAATGTTTGCATTTAAATCCTTCCAAAAATTAGATACACGGCTTTTGAATATCGATATAATATCGCTGGAAAAAATATCACAATATATTGCCATATCGATATTTTCTTACATCCCTAGAAGAGTAGCTCACAAATTTCTACTTTTTTCATGGAAGTGTGACAGTAATGGAATCTAACTACGAAAACACAATAAAATAGTGAAAAAAAAAACTAAAAAAAATACGTAAAGAAAACAAGGAAGCCCAGAAATTGCAGAAATGACAGAAACTCCAGTATGAAAAGAAAGTAGTGAGCAAGTAGAGAATGAACACACGCTTTAGGTTAATGGAAATGTGGAGAAAAAACTTAAAAGGTGGAATTTGGGAAAAATGTAAGGGAACTTTTTAGGACCCTAGTATTATTATCACTGAAGTCATAATGGATAAATATCAACATTAAACTTTGTACTTTGTTATGTCGTCAGATTTATCATTATTGTCAGAACACTCTGGGATATCTTTATATTATTTTTAGGCTGTATCTCTGTTCTAATGGCGTTGGATTATTAAATATTCCTAAAGCTAGAGAAAAAAGAATGTCGGCTTGTGTGCGTTTCCTTTATTTGCAGCATTTTGTGGACTAAACCTTCAAAATATTAGATATGCTCTTTAGAAGTTTTTAAAGCCAAGTTAAAGACCCACTTGTTCACTCTATCCTGAGTTTTAATTCTGCTTTATTGCCTACTGGATTTATTGGTGCTCGTAATGATCTTTTTTCATATCATATTCAGTTTTTTTTAATCTTCTAGCGACTGTTTAGTATTTTGTTTAGCATGTCAGGTATTTGCTACATAGATGGTGTGCTGATGGGATGTGAGGAGGAGAGTAAGGAAGTGCAGGGTTGTGGATGGACTGGCTGAATTTGGAACCCAGCTGCTTGCAATTGTTATTATGATCATGTTTGTTATTGTTAACATTTTTAGAATGACAAGTGCTCATTTCGGCAAAGTTTTCTTTTGTCAGGTGTTTTTATGCTTGCTACATTGTAATAACAGTCCACTGTACCTTTTCATGAAAAATTTGCTGACAGTCTTCTTTCTTGTGAATCGAATAATCAACCCAAACAGGTAAACAAACAGAGCTCCACCAAACCCACAGGCAATTCTGCAGAGAGAGAAACAGCAGGCCAACAAGGAGTAATTAGTTCAAGTGAAAACAAACAAGTGCATGAAAGTGCAACACTCGGTTTATTGAGCCTCCTGCAGGTACTGGTGCATCTGAGCACAATGAAAACAGTGTCAATGTGATGAAGCTCTAGAGGCAGATGTCAACAATGAGTGAAATTGTAACGCAGTGAAGTCATAAACATACACAGTCTGGAACAAATGTTTCATAAGAACAGTAAAATGTCTTCTTTCCGTTTTTAACTGGCAACCCAATCGTGAATCGGCTAAGAAAAAACAAAAAGGCCTTGTTTTTGTTACATTTCACCTAACACACACATTCACACACTGGTGGTGATGAGCTACAATTAGCCACAGCTGCCCTGGTGCAGACTGAAGCAGTGTTACACTGGCACCACCGATACCTCTGACCCCCACCAGCAGGCAAGGAGGGTGACCAAGGGCACAGCGACTGCGACAGACTGAGCAGGACTGGAATTATCTTTATTCTGTTTCTTTCTCTAAATATGGTGGCAGTGCATACATTTTTACAATAATTCTCAGATGTATTCAATATATTGCTCTGTTTATAGAGTTTAGCCCAAATGTTGGTCTGTAATTTCATATCTAGTATTATCTGCTCTTTCCTTTTGTAAGATTTTAGCTAAAATCACTGAGGCTTTGCCTGTCAGGTTCCAGAGTTGTGGGAGGTGTTCTTTCATCCACAGGTTGTTGGAGGGCTTACAGAGACGCTCAGGTGTACACCTCCCAGCTAATGAGCTCTGCAGCAGTGTCACCTCTATCACCTGCAGCTGATCAGCTAATCAAGACGGGAGAAATGAAGGAGTCAGGGAACCAGCCACGCACTGCCAGATTGTTTGCCTTCATGGAAACATCCAGCCACCTGAACCAGCTCTGATGATCTAAACTGGAAAACCTTTCCTGTTCCTGACCTGCCTTCATTTATTTCCATAGGATTCCTGATCCCAAGCCAAGCTGACGCTTTCAGCCCTTCAGAACCGCCTCGACTGCGTTCTTCCCCTCCTCCAGAACCATGGCTGCTTAACTCCCTGGCATTTAGATCTCATCCCGTTCTGACATCCTCCCGTGCGTCTCCTGTTCACCCTCCAACGTTGCACCATAAGCCATCTCAGCTTTTATCATTCTGGTACCTGTTCTTCACCTCTGAGCTGCTCCAGTCCCTGCTCCCGATCCAACCTACTCATCAGTCTACAGCTCTGGCCCTGCGCACCTCTCCATCAACTACCTTCATTCTTCTCCCAGTAAGATGTCTCCAACTCTTCTATATTCCTCCTCGTTCTGATCAAAAACTCATGTATTTTTCATTCCAGTGGTCTAACTTCCAGATCCAGAACCCAGCCTATTACTGACCAGCCATTTAGTTCCTAAAAATATTTTGTAATTACACCATCTCCCGGTCTCCTGAGTTTCTCATACAAGAAATTTCACCCACATACGTGGGTCAAATTTATTCCTAAAACCATGACATGCCACCTACTTAATATTTTTGTCTGGTAATAACCAAGTTTTTTATTTTAATTTTTTTATTTCTTCCCTAGACAGAATTCTCAATTTCTGCAGCAGCTTGATCATGTGAATGCTGTTAGTTATCAGTTTCCCTGAAGACATCCTAACAGGTGTGAATGTTGCCATGAACCTAATGAACATTTCCACAGTAATTTACTTAATGATACATCTGACAAATTACATGAAAATTAGGGATGTCCCGATCAGGTTTTTTTTCCTCAGTCATTTGATTTTTGAGAATCTGCCGATACCGAGTCCCGATCCGGCACTTTCGATACATAAAAAAATATATAAATAAAAGGAAACAGTTCCAGAATGTTCGTTATTTAATTACCTTTTTTTTTTTTAACAGATCACTTCTGTAAGGTAGCTTGAACAATCAAGTGATGTAAATTAACTTTTGGACTTTGTTGCAAATATAAAAAGTCTAATATTAAAAACAGCATTTCAACTTAAAATCCCTGGCAGGGGCTATTTTGCCTCGGCCCCCAAAATGCTTAGATACGTCCCTGGGCATGGGGCGGAGTTTTGAAGATGATCTGAATTGTATCACCTATATAAATACTACATGCTGATAAATTATTGCTTTATACAGGGACAGACGTGTAGTGGGATAAATCTACCTACATTTGATTCTATTGAAGAACTTTTGTTTTCTTGGTTTTTATCTTCCTGTCCTGTCTGTCTCTGATCTTCCTGCATCTCCCAGTCCACCAGAAAACTCCTGCCTGCTTCCTTCTTTTTCACCTCACAAGTAACTTTTTAACTAGCAGATCAAATGGATCTATTGACCGCAAAAAAAGCGGCGTGTGCGCCACGCTGCACCAGTGATGAGTGCTGTAGCGGGGGCAGCGCAAGCGCATCCACACGTCCTGCTCAAATACAGACAGAACTTACCAGAGAGAAAAGGAATGGACACGAATGACTGTGTGTTAATTATATATTTTTTGGTGATGCCACTTAGAAACTTAGAAAATGTTACTGTGGCCGTGTGCAGAACGCAGCTGGAGTTCATGAATAATCAGCGGTCTGCCTGCCGCTCTCTGCATCTCTGCTCAACAGAATCCCCGCTAAGCTGAGTCCATATAAATAATATAATATAGGTAGAAACTGGATCTTTTTGTGCTCCTTCTGGGTGTGTAAGTTAAGGGCATCAGGGGAGCCTGACAACCTTTAAGGGAAACCAAGTTGCTCTCCTGTAATTTGAACCCAGAATCCGAGTCCGGATCGGGAAGTAAAGCCCGAGTCCCGATCAGTCTGAAATCACGTGATTGGGGCCAATTTCCGATCATGTGATCGGATTGAGGCATCCCTAATGAAAATGGCAAACTCTGTTTTTGTACATGGATGGTGTTACGGCCACTGCATGTCCAGCAGAGAAAACGGGGATCAGCAACAAATGCAGATCCCATCACATCGATATAATAATCGTCCCAGACATTTTGTGCATGGCACCCCCCTGCTTTCATAGCAATCTGAGATGAATATGTGTGGTGCTGCGCACAAGCTCATCGATGCTCTACGAACAAACTCCCTGATGTGTTTGGCACTGCGTGTTCATTTCTGCCATTTCTAACACTGGCTCAGGGTGGGATGGTGGGTGCGAGTACTGCCGGTGTCACTCACTTTGGCTCTGGTTGGCTCAAGAGCTGTTTCACAACTGGCACACCACTGGTTTTACTGTCAGACAGCCTGACAATCGCTGTGCTTCATTCATTCAACCATATTATAGTTCTGTAGTAATGTGCCACTTTAAATGCATAACAACGGTAACAGCGAAGCAACGATGGAAAAATAAATTAATTAGATTACTCCGTTACCTAAAAAAAACGCTACTAATAACACCGTTACTCTTTAATGCCATTACTCCTAACACTTGGTGCAACACAACACTGAGCTAATCTTACTGCTTCACACATTGAATGATCCCAAATACATTCTGAAGAAAGAATTGTAACTCTGATATTTTCTTTCTTTGTATTTTTGTAATTATTTTCACTCTTGCACATGGGATTTGATAATCAATCTTTCACCAAGTGAAAAAAGGAATAACAACAATATTAATAATAACAACTTACCCTACACCAGCAAAAACAGGAAGCTCATAAAGGTGAAAGGGGAATTCTACTGGGAAATGGGTTTTAAACAGTGCTGTGATGGTCTCTGTGGAAAAGGAAACAGGGAGCAACAAGAGTTACAAAATACAGCACACTCTCGGGAAAATCTTTTAAATGAATGTGTTTTGCAACAGAACTTAAACAGCTGAATGTAGAATTTCATTGAGTTTTAACTCAAACTCTATAACCAGCCCAGATTTAACAAATGCCAAAAGAAAATCACGTAAAAAAAAAGGAAAACTCGAACACTGCACTTGAGATCAGTAGGACTAGGAAACAAAAACACATCTTCTTGGTTCTGGCTTCACTCATTGGCTTTAACAGCGGATATCTTTTAGGCTTTTAGTTTCCAGTTTTAAGTCTCTTGTGGGTACAGTGTAGATACATCTTTCTTGCTGAAATGGTTGAGAATGATTCTGGTTCTGAGAACAGCTGTCAGGATGGCCGGATCCTTCATACCCTTGGGGCCCGCTAATGGTCAGGGACTTTCAGCTGCTGGGGCCTGCTGATCCACGGAGTCTGCCTGCCATCGGAGTGTGCTAATGTTTGTCTAAAATGGTGACCTGCAAAAGAATGTAGTCTACCACTCTCCAGACATGTTCAATTGCATTAGAGTTTGGGCTCTGGGTGGGAAATTCAAGGACATATACAGTGGCATCCTGAAGCACATAAAGTTATAAAAAGATAAGGAACAATAATTTAAAAAATGGAAAGAAAATGATGTAAAAAACAATAAAAGGAGACTGTTCCATGAGGCTCACTGAAAATATGCTAACAAATGGAAATAAGTCAAAATGAGATTTAAACACTTGAAAGGAAAGTGTGTGCTTCACCCTCAGAGGTGACCGTTTTCAAAGGGTCAGAGCTAGAAGAAGCGTGATTTGCATTTCCAGCATGGCATTACCAACAAATCCTGGTCTACTCAGCGGAGAGATCAAGAGGGGACATGCTTATGCAGCAGAGCAGTGACATGTGTTGTAGCACTACCCTGCAGAACCCTAGGCTCAGGGCAGCACCTTAAATTTCACCCTGTTCTCAACTGGGAGCCAGTGAAGCAAAGCCAACACATGAGTGAAGGGATCCCTCTTTCTTGTGTCCGTCAAAAAACGCAGAGACGAGTTCTGGACTAGCTGTTCCACTGTGCCTAGGCTCAGACCAGCATTTTGCAGATGAGTCCTTGACAGCAGGGGCTCCTTTCTGGCCACCCTTTGGAGCAACATGAGGAGTCTCTTCGTGGACTCCATCTCAACAATAAAATTCCCGATGCTCTCATCATAAACTGCAGACCCGGTGCAGTCATAAACACTCCCCTAAAACAGTCATTTCCCACAGCCCACCCTGGAGTGCATCTCCACATACTTCAAGCTCAAAAGAACCAAGGCCATCACTAGTGGCCAAGTGACCCATCAGAATTGTAAACACACATGCATACACACACTTAACACAAATAAACAGACCGTACAAAGTTGTTGTATGAACCTTTTTTATCGTGTTTTTTCGCTGTGACTGAATGATATTAATTATATCTTTGCCATATCCTTACGTTGTTCTTGTCTTTGAGTTGTCTTTTTTAATGACATGATTTTACCTTAGAGGAAGGCATTAAAGGGAACATTTGTTATTTTGTTTTTTATCTGGGTCTATGAACTATACAAAACTAGGTTTATGAAGTTATTTGCTCAAAATGTGTTATACATAAATCGATTTAAGCTGCATAATTCTTGACATTTTCAGTGCCTTCCAGAATGAGCTGTTGTAAAGGAAATGTTGAAAATAAAGCTGCTGAAAACCCTTAGTGACTGGTTTTGTACAAAAAACTACATAAAAATGCATTTTTTGTATAGACAACCCTCGCAAGGCACAATCAGTCATCCACCCGTTCACACACACATCCACACACTGGTGATGATGAGCTACATTGTAACCACAGCTACCCTGGGGAACACACGCACCACCAGCAGGCAGTCTCACCCAAGGGCACAACAGCAGCGTTCTCTGTCGGCAACCAGCATTGAACCTACATCCTTTTGATTTCTGGAAAACCTCCTGAGCTACTGCTGCCTCTAACTCAAAAAATATTTTATATATTATTTGTTTACATGTTGGACAATGTACATTTTACTTTTGTGTCCTAATAGGAAGAATTTCTTCCTCACTATTTGACAAGCTCAACACACACACACACACACACACACACACACACACACACACACACACACACACACACACACACATTCAGACGCTACAAGGCAGAGGGAATGAGTTACCTTCTGCACTGGCCCAAACAGGCAGCACTCTGTACACGATGGCCGCAAGTGTTGCTGCTAAGATCGCTCTCCAATAGTTCCTCACAGCAAAGAACGTGGTTGTTACTTCAATGCTAAACAACACACCTGTAAAACACCAAAATGAAAAAGTGTATTTCAATGACAAAAAAGGACAAAAGAACATTATTTGGAGCATCAAAGTTTATTTTAATTGTTTGAAAGGTATTGGTCTGTCTTCATTAGCAAAGATCTCTAAGCACACAAACGGCAATTTGTTTACAGATACTGAGCTAGTTTGGTGTTGTAGGAGCAGGAAATGAATCCTACCACATCGTGTTCCACAACACAAGACATCTTAATCCGATCCTCCAACCATCTCTTCTAACTCCTTTTACACCTAACCCAAACACGGGATTTTGAAAGGTGAAATACATTTTTATTATGTGATCAGAAGAAATATACCCTTGATGGTATTGATTTTTCCAACATTACTGGTAAGACAAGCAGATCCCACCTGAAAGGTTTTCTACGCACCACAGCAGAGGGGGGTGCCACAATGTTCCAGAGAGCTGTTATCCTTCAGTGGAACAATGGAGTTTTAGTAAGTGCAGGGGTGTCAAATGGCTACTGCTTTTGGATGTTGCACAGAGCATTCCTCATGACTGAGGACCCCCATCTGTGTGGTAACCACCACTTTTTTTTTTCATAAGATAAAGCTGCAGTACACAATGCCTGCAGGACAGAGTGGCTCATCCAGCATGTTCCCCTGATCCAAATCCAATTTAGAACCTTTGTGAATGGATGGCAACGGAAGATTACAAAAGTGGACATCTGTTCATGCGGTCGTCTTCACCACTTGGATGAACGTTCCCATTCACCTCATAGAAACACTTCATCAAGTATTCCACAACCTAAATCCAACTGAGAACTTTTAGGTACCAGATTTGCAACCATTATGTTCGAGTTGGACATCTAAAGGTCTTACTGGAGGTTTAGGATATTTTTATGTTTTGGTATTCTCCAAATTAAACAGAGTTTGGTTCATCTCCATCCCCATGCTTCTTAGTGGGAATGATGTTCTCGGATACAACTCAGCATTTGTCCTCCTCCAAACACGACGAGTGGCTCATCTGACCAGATGGCATTCTTCCAATCCTCCCCTGGATCATCTTGATGGTCTCTCTGGCCAAGTCTAGATGAACCTGGACATGTACTTGCTTAACCCTTATACGTCTTTACTGCATTTTTTTGTGCTCAAACACCAGAAACGTTCGAAAATTAAAAGGTAATATAAGCGTTCAGAATGGCGCCATTAGGAGCGCTGCAGGATTTAATCCATGACAACATAGCATGCTAGTAATTGTAACCTTTGTTACTGAGGTCCCAGTACTCCTCAGCTCATTGACCAGTCCCCCTGTGTAGTTCTGGGCTGTTTCCACATCATTCTCAAAGTCCATTGTACTCCATGAGGCGAGATCTTGCATGGGGCCCCCCAGGTCAGGGGGGATTGTTAGTGATCTTGTACTTACTGCCTTTTCTAATAATTGCTCCAACAATTGATCGTTTCTTATCAAGCTGCTTGCCTATTGTAGATTGGCTCATCCCAGTCTTGAGGAGTCTTGCCCATGGTTTAGTCTTATCCGTTCTATTGTCTTGGTCATTAGGTTGGAGTCTGACTGAAGTTGTGAACAGGTGTCATTAATACAGGTAATGAGTGAGGGATAGAAGTGCAGGTCTGCGAGGACCAGAATTGTTGCTAGTTTGTAGGTAATAAATACTTGTTTATTTTACCCTAATACAAATAAATGCTTCATAAAAATAAACAATGTGACTTGCCAAATAATTTTTATTTTTTTTACATTTTGTTTCTCACAGCTGAAGTGAGCCTATGATGAAAATTACGGGGCTGTCATCTTTTTCAGTAAGACGACTTGAACAATTGGTGACTGCCAAATACATTTTGCCCCACTGTACATGGTAAGTGAAATTATAAATGACCTGTATTTGTATAGCACCTTTCAAGCCTTCTTTAGAAGACACACCATTCCGGCAAATCAGCATACTGCCACCACAGTGTGTCTTCTGAATGCGCCGTGGCAGCATGGCGATGTGGGGATTTGTTTTTGCCAACTGCTACTGACTGTAATTGATTGTTCCTCATCAAAAAAGTGCTACGAAACATTCAAGGGCGCCTGCAGAAATTTTTGATAGGGGTGGCCAGATGGAGTCAAGGAAATTTTTGGGGTGACACACCAGATTGGTCCTTGTGTAACTCTGGGAAAGTTTAGCCTGTGGCGATGTATTGCATTGCTCCTTTATTGGTTTTTATTAAAAGAAACAGTAAATATCCAAAACATTTAACTAAAATTTTACAATCATAATCATTTCAGAAAAATACATTTTAGTTATTATAAAATGTTATTTCAAATTTTATTTTAAAATGTAATTTTTTTTATTCACCTGTTGATGTGTTCACAAAAAACTATGGAGATAAAAACTTTTTTTAAATGGTGAGCAGCAAAAACACATGTAACTTTTAAAATTCTGATTATTTCTTTACTCGTTGATTGTATTATTTTTATTTTGTTTTACAATAATGTCTTGAATAAATAAGATCAATTTATGCTTTGAGTGAACATTAAAATGATTTATTAACACTGGCTTTTGCTTGGGGGGCCATCAATTTTCTAGGGGGCACCATTGAAAACATTGTGCCACACTCCCTAGACACTCCCTAAACTAACTGCTAATCACAAACTAATCATTGCCCATTGTTTTGGGCAATGACTGAAAGAACAAGATAATGGATTCAAACAGCCAAGAGGAGCTTTCTCTGCAGGGTGTCTGGGCTCTCCTAGATAGGGTGAGAAACCAGGGGCCTCATTTATCAAGCTTGCTTACGCACAAAACGGGGTCGGAAAACTGCGTAAGCAACTTTCCACGCAAATTTTGGGATTCATGAAAGAAAACTTAGCGGAAAAATGTGCACAACTTTAAGTTGACTAAGGACCTGGCTTATGCACATTTTGGACATGGAGAACACCTGCAGTGCTGCTGCTGAGAAGGATACAATTATGAAATCCTGCAGCATTATCACTTGTACTGCTTCGTGTTCACACAGAACAAGACCCCCACACGCACGCACATGCGCGTACACACACACACACACACAGCCTGAAGCGCAGAATACGGAATGCAGAATATCAGCAGGGGGACAGATTGAGACAGATTGAGACAGAATGTCTGTGACAGTGTGTGTCCTGTCACTGTGACCCGATTGATGATGTGCCCTGGTTACTTGTAGAGGGAAGATCTCTGTTTGGCTGACTGGTTAGCACACATGACTGTCACCCGGGAGTCTGGGGATCAAATCCTGATTGGACCATTGTTTTTATATCATTGACGGCTTCAGCAACGCTGTGCCACTCCGTGGATTTTCATTATTTGTTTAGCAAAAGCACTTCCTTTCATTTCTCCCCCTCACCCACAAGTACCTCAATTTCTGCTTCTGTGAAATTGCGCTTCCTTGATCTGCCTTGATCTACGGTCACCATCGTCATTGGCGGAGCGCTGCAACAGCCGGCTTATGTATATGCATGAGATCCACAAGGCACTTTGCATTGGCTATTTATGGCAGAAAGTGGGCGTGGTGAGGGCGGAATGTGACTAAAATGCAGCTGAGAAACATTGTCGTTAGTCTCTGATTTATGAAGCGGAGATTGCGTGCAGCTGTGCGTACTCCATGTTTGATAGATCACAAACCTACCTGGCATAATTACATTTTTTTTGCTGAGCTTAAGTACGGTTTTAGTAAGGATTCTACGCAATGTTTGATAAATGAGAAACCCCTGGTCATCTGAGAGGTGCTCAGAGTAGATCTGCTGCTCCTCCACACTGAGAAGAGCCAGTTGAGGTGGCTCGGGAAGATGGTTAGGATGCCTCCTAGACACATCCCTAGTGAGGTTTTCTGACCACGTCGAACCGGGAGGAGACCTAAAGGAAGACCCAGGACATGCTGGAGGGACTATATTTCTTGTCTGGCCAGGAAACTCCTTAGGATTTCCCTGGAGGAGCTGGCCCAAGTGGCTGAGCAGAGGGAAGTCTGGCCCTCTGCTCAGCCTGCTAATTAACTCAATTATCTTGTTCTTTCTTCATTGTAAGGTAGAAGAGTCACTTGAAAAATACATGGTTCATTTCAAGTGACTTTGTCCTCCTAAAACAGGTATATTCTAAACTGAGGTCATGGACCCCCAAGGGAAGCCCTACAAATGTATCTGTGTTCAAGATGTGAGGTTAGAAAGGTTTTATTTGTAAAAATGACATTCATAAAATTCTGATGACTCACAGAACTTCGTAAATGTTATAACTCTGTATGACTGTATAAAGTTTGTAAACCATCACATTTAACGTGTGTATGCGTGTAGGATTTGGGGTCCTGACTTGTCTTGGACATGGGCAATAGGGTACTTAACAAAAAAAAAAACACTGTCCTAAAACTTAAGTGAAAAGATAAAATAAATCAGAACTCCTCATTTGTATTAGTGGAGGAGCTGCATCGATGTGTCGGCCACATCAGACCAGTGACATAAAGCTTGACGAGATACTGAAGAAGAAATATTTTTGTATTGTGCCTTTCAACATAGAAATCAAAAGGCACTTCAGAAGCACAATAAAATCAATTAAAAAAACATGCAATACGAAAACACTGAAAATAATATTAATAAGGATAGAAACAACAGCAGGAAAGAGGTGGGGGGTGGGGGCAGCGATGGATCAGCTAGAGTTCACACACAAGCCAGCCTGAAGTGTGTGAGACGGACTCAGCTTAAATGTGTGTTTTTCCAGGAAACAAACCTCCAATTGGAGCAGCAAAACAGCTGCATACCCCCACTCCACAGGCTACTGCCAGCAACTCCATTTTTCTAGACCGATGCTGAAACACACAAACACAGTTATGGATGTGCTTACTCTCATTTAAATACATTACTTAAAAACAAATATACATGTAAAATACATTTAACATAAGGTAATATGAGTCCTTGCCAAGTTTAATTTTGTACTTTGACATTTCTGAGCTTTTGTATTTTATAGAATGGCACGGGAAAGTACCGGTAATAAGCCAGTTCTGTTTAAAACACAGATTTATACGTGTGTTCAGAACATTTGTCTGATTGCAAACCAGGTCATGTTATCCTCAAGTTGTCCCTCTGTAATTTCGGTCGTAGGTACAAGTCACAAGTATGTCACAAGTCTTTCCAGTCAAGTATTAAGTCAATTCCAAGTCAAAGGCAACCAAGTCCAATTCGAGTCCAAAGCCAATTGTGTGGAAGTCCAAGTCAAGTCCAAGTCCTTAACTTTGAATTTTGAAGTCATCTTCAAGTCATCTGTCCAACTTCAATTTAATGACAATGATAATAAATAAATAAATTCCAGAAATAAAGCTTCTTAAAGCTTCATTTATTTGCTCCAACAAGCAGAAAGTGTAACTGAAACTGATTATAAACAAAGTGCTGCTGCTTTTAGCAGAACAAGATCAAACCCAGAACCAAGAATGATTTATGATTTTTGTCCATGTCGGGTCACTTTTGTGCTAAAATATCAAATATGCTCAAGTCATCATCAAGTCAACAGATAAAAGTCGATTCAAGTCGCAAGACATTGGCATTCAAGTCCGAGTCAAGTCGTAAGTCTTTATAGATTTTATCAAGTCAAGTCAGAAGTCATTAAAATAATGATTCAAGTCTGACTCGAGTCCAAGTCATGTGACTCGAGTCCACACCGCTGCCTATCAGTGTTGTCTCACTAGTCTAGAATCGTGACCATCACTTGCCAAAGCAAAATAATGTTGCTTATATATCAAACATATATAGGATGGCTTGCCGGGCTATTGTATAGGGACAACAGTAGCTCAAGAGGTAGAGCGGGTTGTCCAGTAATCGGAAAGTTGAAGGTTCGATCCTGGCTCCGAGCAGAGTTTTCTGAAGTGTGTTGGTGATAATGAGTAATATTGTTTGATTCAGTTACTTTTGAAACCTTGGAGAAAAAAACAGGGATTCTATTCACCTTTGATCATTTAGAACTAAGTTTAGCACCAAATTCCAACTAACCTTTGAGCCACCAGAACCTTAATGAAATTTCAAGCACCTGAATGCACCCTGTACAAAGATTCATTCACTTAGAAATAAGCCTGTAGTAGTTTGAAGTTCAGCAGAATAAGCTCACATTTTAGATCCAATAGTTTTGTATGTGTAAAGATAAATAAGAAAAGAAAAAGGTAAAAACAAAATAAGGATGAGTCACTTAAAAAAAACTAGAATAAACCTCACCTCATAGCTCGCTCCAAACAGAGACATGAACTTGAAGAGGAGAGAAGCACACAGACTAGACATGTGTACAAAGGGACTCTAAAAGAGAAAACATAAAAGACATAAGACGGGTCACTTCAGGTAAAGCATCATTTTAGTGGAAGTTCTCTGAAAACTCGTCAACAAGAAAGCCAGCAGAGGATCTTAAAATTCACAGGATGGAGCTCAAAGTGGAACTGAGAGGATTCAAAGTGAGGGAATTAGAAGAGCGATGCACCAGTATGATGAGGTGACGCCTGTACTGACTCAGAACCACAGATGCTGCTGCTGCAGTGTTCCGTGTGTGTGTGTGTGTGTGTGTGTGTGTGTGTGTGTGTGTGTGTGTGTGTGTGTGTGTGTGTGTGTGTGTGTGTGTGTGTGTGTGTGTGTGTGTGTGTGTGTGTGTGTGTGTGTGTGTGTGTGTGTACATTTCACCTCTTTGCCTAGTGGCATCCCACTGCCCAGGGCGAAGGCAAGGCTGATAAATTTGACTGCAAACGTTTTGAAGGTGAGGTATTTTTTCAGCATCACCCCTCGAAGGATGGTCTTCATCTCTGGAATGCCTGAACCTGCATGAAGGAGGAAAAGGAGGAGGTTACTAGCTGATCAACTCATTTATATTCTGAAGAGGAGTCTGATTAGATCAATGTGATGAACTGGAGCCGGTCTTAGAACAACCGACCTGCTAGAAATGTGAAATCCTGGCGCACCTGCAGCTGCTTCACTCTCTGGATTCCTGGAACAGGTTTATTCCAGAAGGAAGTAGCTGACAGGTAGGCTAATATTTATTTGATGCTTTTAGTATTTGTTAGACCTTTTAGGTTTCCATAAATACCCATGAACTGCCACAGATCACGTGGCATATTTATAATAAAAATATTCTCAAGGTACTTTTCATGCAGGTTTTAATAGTTTATCATTATTATATTTCATTTTGACCTCATAATATAATTTATTTTGAGTTAAAATTAGTTTTTTACCATATACTTGCTAGTTTCACTTTAGTTTATTAGTGTCAGTTTTAGTCTTAATATTTTGTAACAAGTTGTGTGTGTGTGTGTGTGTGTGTGTGTGTGTGTGTGTGTGTGTGTGTGTGTGTGTGTGTGTGTGTGTGTGTGTGTGTGTGTGTGTGTGTGTGTGTGTGTGTCTCACCAGCAGCCTCAGGGGCAACAAACTGTGTGAAGCCAGCAGCGAAGGAAATGAGGACTAATGGGAATGTGACCCACGCTATGTATGACAGAAGCACATTACTGTCCAGATGGTCGTACATCACCCTCCGGGCTGTGGACATACACATATTTCAAGGGTGGACAGGTCAGGCAAAATCATATGAACACAGCCACATAGAAGCACAGAAAGCAAGTGTTCATGTAAGTAAACAGTGGATTCAGCTGGTTTAAACAATTTAAAGAAAACATATGTATTTACACTGTGTGTATAATTATATGGCAAAGTTGCATTTTGGGGAATTTTTTCACAATGAAACAAATTTCCATCAATCAGTCCAAAATGTAAATAAACATGAAACGCGTGTTATAAAAACAAAATATGAGCAAGAACATCAGCAGGAGTATTTATGTTTTTCCAAAGTCTTTAGGCAACGAAATCTGAAGCTGTATATTTTCTATTTTGTTTTTTATCTATTAAAGTGACTCAAACAAACAGACAACACATGATTTCTAAATAAAAAAAATTATATACTACCAATATAGCAAACCTTCCTTTCAATAACAGCAATAAGATTCATGGAACAACATGCTGTTAATCAGCAACCACAGCATCCCACACAATAAAGCTCCTGCAGAAAAGCCCAAAACTTCTCAAAGGTATTTAGGCAGGGAATGAAGAGCCTTGTCATTTTTCAGTCATTGTTAGGCGGCCCTTCACTACTAGAGCCCCACCCACCTTGCTTGCATCTGAGTCAAGCCTACTCTAGTTACTCAAATACATGTAACTCTAATGAATCAGCTTGGAGATTAAAGCTCCTCGTCGTCGTCGTCTTCCTCCGCTTATCCAGGTCCGGGTCGCGGGGGCAGCATCCCAACTAGGGAGCTCCAGACTGTCCTCTTCCTGGCCTTCTCCACCAGCTCCTCCAGCAGGACCCCAAGGCGTTCCCGGACCAGATTGGAGATGTAACCCCTCCAACGTGTCCTGGGCTGACCCGGGGACCTCCTGCCGGCAGGACATGCCCAAAACACCTCCCCAGGGAGGCGTCCAGGAGGCATCCTGACCAGATGCCCAAACCACCTCAACTGGCTCCTTTCGATCCGGAGGAGCAGCGGTTCTACTCCGAGTCCCTCCCGAATGTCAGAGCTCCTCACCCTATCTCTAAGGCTGAGCCCGGCCACCCTACGGAGGAAACTCATTTCGGCCGCTTATATCCGCGATGTCGTTCTTTCGGTCATTACCCAAAGCTCCCATAGGTGAGGCTTAGGACGTAGATCGACTGGTAAATTGAGAGCCTGGCTTTCTGGCTCAGCTCCCTCTTCACCACGACAGATCAGCTCAGCGCCCACATCACTGCAGATGCTGAACCAATCCGCCTGTCGATCTCCCGATCCCTCCTACCCTCACTCGTAGGGCTGCTCAATTAATCGAATTTTAATCACGATTACGATCTGAGTTTTGAATGATTATAAAAAACAAAAGAAGCCGATTATTTGCTCCTCCCGCTTGCGCTGCCCTGAGTTGCAAATGAAGCGCTCCTCCCACAGTGTTGCCAACTTGGCGACTTTGACGCTATTTCTAACAGCTTTTCAGACCCCCTTTTTGACTTTTTAAATCTTAAAAGTACCTAGCAAACACCTCAGAAACATCTCTGGTAACCCTTAGCTACTTTCTGGATAACTCATCGACATTTCCTGCAGGTTAGCTAAACACTCTGCCTGCGCTCCGGACCATTCTTCAGGACATTAGGAAAGGGAATGATGCAGTGATGTGTCGGTTGCTAAAGAAACAGCTCTCAGAGCCGGCTCCCTGTTGGATTAACCAGAGTGAGTGACACACACCGCACCTGCGGGCTCCTGAGCCGCTAAAAACGGCTAAATGTGCTCGTGCGGCATGCGGCGTGCTAAAAACACGTGCAGCTTGCCCCGATTGCTGTGAGACCGGGTTGGGGGTTGGGGGGTGCAGCTGTGGTTGGGACAATTATTACATTAACTGATGGACGACTTGTAAATAAATAGTTTATAAATAAGGTAGAAATAACTTCCTCACGCTGATAAATAATAACGAATCTCTCTGAGGACACGGTGCTAGTGCACTCTCCTACAGCACCTTGACACGACTCAATAAATGTTATGCAACATTTTGTGAACATCAATTTATTTGCATTTATTTGTTATAAATGCCACTGTATAATTCTTGCTGTCAGTATTTGCAAGATATTGGTATTGGGTCTGTACTGGTTAGACTTAAATGAGTTAAACCAAGGTCTATAGCCCTTGGGTCATAAACGAAGAGCTATAAGTATATTGGTCTTTTTATACTGGGAATCAGGAGTTCTTTTAGTGATCATCTTGTTTCTTGTTTATTTTTGTCCTGATTGTGCCCTGAGCAATTTTATGACTGAATAAAAACAAATAAAATCAACATAAATTGAAAAATCGTCCTAAATAATCGTGATCTCAATTTCAGTCTTAATAATCGTGATCATTATTTTTGCCATAATCGAGCAGCCCTACTCACTCGTGAACAAGACCCCGAGATACTTAAACTTTTCCACTTGAGGTAGGACCTCTCTCCCCACCCATGTATCCATTTTGGGCTGGGCCCGCCCGGGCCCCATTGGCGAAAGCCCGGCCACCAGGCGCTCGCTCACGGGCCCCAACCCCAGGCCTGGCTCCAGGGTGGGACCCCGGTAACCCTCCGGGTCGGGTACTCCGACTCTTTGAATTTACATTCATGAAAGATCCTGTGAACCGTTCTTTGTCTCACCCTTCACCTAAGACCAATTTGTCATGGGAGACCCTACCAGGGGCACAAAGTGCCCCAGACAACACAGCTCCTAGGATCATTAGGGCACTCAAACTCCTCCACCACGATAAGGTGGTGGTTCAAGGAGGAGTGATGGAGATTAAAACTGCTATAGCAAATAAAAAAAACTATTTAACTTCAAACTTTTTTCAAGCAAAGAGTCGGAGTACCTGGCCCGGAGGGTTACCGGGTTCCCACCCTGGAGCCAGGCCTGGGGTTGAGGCCCGTGAGCGAGGGCCTGGTGGCCGGGCTTTTGCGCCCGCCAGAACCAGATGCATGGGCTCATCCAACTGTGGACCCAAAACCCGCAGGAGGAACATGAAGGGTCCGGTGCAGTGTGGATCAGGTGGCAGACCGAGGCAGGAGCCTTGGCCGTCCGATCCCCCGACAAGGAAACTGGTTATTGGGACATGGAACGTCACCTTGCTGACGGGGAAGGAGCAGGAGCAGGAGCAGGAGCTTGTGGCAGAGGTTGAGCGATACCGGCTAGATATAGTCGGACTCACCTCAACACATAGCATTGGCTCTGGAACCCAAGTCCTAGAGAGGGGTTGGACACTCTCCTTTGGTGGAGTTGCTCTGGGTGAAAGGCAGAGGGCTGGGGTTGGCTTTTTGTTAGCCCCAAGACTCTCTGCCTGTGTGTTGGGGTTTACTCCGGGGGATGAGAGGGTAGCTTCCCTGCGCCTTCGGGTCAGGGAATGGGTCCTGACTGTTGTTTGTGCTTATGCGCCAAATATCAGTTCAGAGTACCCACCCTTTTTGTAGTCCCTGGGACGAGTGCTAGATAGTGCTCCATCAGGGGACTCCATTGTCCTGCTGGGGGACTTCAATGCTCACGTGGACAATGACAGCTTGACCTGGAGAGGTGTGATTGGGAGGAACGACCCGCCTGATCTGAACTCGAGTGGTGTTTTGTTATTGGACTTCTGTGCAAGCCGCAGTTTGGCCATAACAAACACCATATTCAAACAAAAGCATGCCCATCGGTACACTTGGTACCAGGGCAGCCTATATTGCAGGTCGATGATAGACTTTGTAGTCGTATCATCTGACCTGCGGCCGTATGTTTTGGACACCCGAGTGAAGAGAGGAGCGGAGCTCTCAACTGATCACCACCTGGTGGTGAGTTGGATCAGATGGCAGGGGAAGATGCCGGGTAGACCTGGCAGACCCAAACGCATAGTGAGGGTCTGCTGGGAACGCCTGGCAGAAGAACCTTTCAAGACGGTCTTCAACTCACACCTCCAGCAGAGCTTTGACCGCGACTTGAGAGCAGTGGAGGACATTGACGCTGAGTGGGCCTTGTTCCACTCTGTGATTGTTGAGGCGGCTGTTGCTAGCTGTGGCCACAATGTGGCCGGTGCCAGTCGTGGTGGCAATCCCCATGCCCGCTGGTGGACACCAGAGGTTGGAGGAGCCGTCAGGCTGAAGAAGGAGGCCTACAGGGTGTGGCTGGTCTGTGGGTCTCCGGAGGCAGCAGACAGGTACTGGATAGCCAAGCGGGGTGCAGCAGTGGCAGTTGCCGAGGCAAAATCTCGGGCATGGGAGGAGTTTGGTGAGGCCATGGAGAAAGGCTATCGATCGGCTTCAAAGAGGTTCTGGCTAACTGAAACAGCTCTCAGAGGTCCGGGTCGTGGGGGCAGCATCCCAACTAGGAGAGGGAGGCAGCAACTCGCTCACACTGTTTACAGTGGGGATGGGGAGTTACTGATGTCAACTGGGGCTATAGACAAGCGGTGGAAGGAATACTTTGAGGAGCTCCGCAATCCCACCTACGCAAATTCCGAGGAGGAGCCAGAGCCAGGAGACCTGGGGATGGACTGTTCAATCTCTGGGGCAGAAGTTGTTGAGGTAGTCAAACAACTACACAGCGTCGGAGCCCCGGGGGTGGATGAGATTCGTCCTGGGTATCTCAAGGCTATGGATGTGGTAGGGCTGTCGTGGCTGACACACCTCTGCAACATTGTGTGGTCATCGGGGGCAGTTCCTGTGGAGCGGCAGACCGGGGTGGTGGTCCCCATCTTTAAGAAGGGTGACCTGAGGGTGTATTCCAACTATAGGGGGATCACACTCCTCAGTCTCCCTGGAAAGGTCTACTCCAAGGTACTGGAGAGGACGGTCCGATCGATAGTTGAATCTCAGATAGAGGAGGAGCAATGTGGTTTTCGTCCTTGCCATGGAACTGTGGACCAGCTCTTTACCCTTGCAAGGGTGATGGAGGGGGCATGGGAGTTTGCCCAACCAATCCACATGTGTTTTGTGGATTTGGAGAAGGCTCATGACCGTGTCCCCAGGGGCACCCTGTGAGAGACGCTCCAGGAGTATGTGGTGGGTGGCCTTTTGTTAAGGGCCATTCAGTCCCTTTACCAGAGGAGCGTGAGTTTGGTCCGCATAGCCGATAGTAAGTCTGACCTGTTCCAGGTGAGGGTTGGACTCTGCCAAGGCTGCTCTTTGTCAGCGGTTCTGTTCATAACCTATATGGACAGAATTTCTAGGCGCAGCCGTGGTGTGGAGTGTGTCGAGTTTGGTGGCAGGAGAATCTTGTCTCTGCTTTTTGCGGATGATGTGGTCCTCCTAGCTTCATCCAGTTCTGACCTTCAGCTCTTGCTGGGTAGGTTCGCGGCCGAGTGTGAAGCGGCTGGAATGAGGATCAGCACCTCCAAATCTGAGACCATGGTTCTCGACCGGGAAAGGGTGGCTTGCCAACTCCGGGTCGGGAGAGAGGTCCTACCTCAAGTGGAGGAGTTTAAGTATCTCGGGGTCTTGTTCATGAGTGAGGGTAGGAGGGATCAGGAGATCAACAGGCGGATTGGTTCAGCATCTGCAGTGATGCGGATGCTGAGCCGATCTGCCGTGGTGAAGAGGGAGCTGAGCCAGAGAGCCAGGCTCTCGATTTACCGGTCGTTCTACGTCCCAATCCTCACCTATGGTCATGAGCTTTGGGTAATGACCGAAAGAACGAGATCCCGGATACAAGTGGCCAAAATGAGTTTCTTCCGTAGGGTGGCCGGGCTCAGCCTTAGAGATAGGGTGAGGAGCTCGGACATTCGGGAGGGACTCGGAGTAGAACCGCTGCTCCTCCGGATCGAAAGGAGTCAGTTGAGGTGGTTTGGGCATCTGGTCAGGATGCCTCCTGGACGCCTCCCTGGGGAGGTGTTTCGGGCATGTGCTGCCGGCAGGAGGCCCCCGGGTCGACCCAGGACACGTTGGAGAGGTTACATCTCCAATCTGGTCCGGGAACGCCTTGGGGTCCTGCCGGAGGAACTGGTGGAGGTGGCCGGGGAGAGGACGGTCTGGAGCTCCCTAGTTGGGATGCTGCCCCCGCGACCCGGACCCGGATAAGTGGAAGAAGATGACAACAACTTTTTTCAAGCCAGTCAAAAACATTCTAACATAGTATAGCTATAAACATATTGTGACGATAGAACAAAAAAGTAAAAAAAAAGAAAAAAACGGTTCTCTTGCATTTGTCTAAAATCTCTGCCAATGATTGCAATGACAACAAACTGGGTGATTGTGCAACTGCATCATTGCAATGGTAATGTGGGTTTCCGGTTCCGGTGGAAGGATTAGATAGCCAGCGAAGATACCGAAGGGGTGGTGTAAGTGTTTGTGTTCAAAACCTACTTTGTTTGCAAATTCGCTATAACAGGTTTAATTACAGTATTTTCCTAAAAATTGTAATAGATCAGCGAAGCCCCCCTCTGGAGCCAGGCCTGGAGGTGGGGCACATCGGCGAGTGTCTGGTGGCCAGGCTTTCACTCATGGAGCCCGGCCGGGCATAGCCCGAAGAGGCCTCCAGTGAGGAAGCAGGGTACGGGGACTTTGGGTTGGGCTCTCCAATCTCTGGTGCTGAGATCACTGAGATGGTCAAAATGCTCCATGGTAGCAAGCCTCCTGGGGTGGTCGAGATCCCCCCAGAGTTCATTGAGGCTCTGGATGTTGTAGGGTTGTGTTAGATGACATGGCTCTGCGATATGGCGTGGACATCGGGGGCAGTTCCACTGGATTGGCAGACCGGGGTAGCGGGCCCCCTATTTAAAAATGGCGACTGCATGTGTTCCAACTACGGGGGGATCACATTACTGAGATTCCTGGTAAAATCTGCTCTGGGATTCTGAAGAGGAAGGTCCGGTGGATTGTCGAACCTCAGATTCAGAAGAAGAAATGTGGATTTCATGCTGGCTGTGGAACACTGGATCAGCTGTATGCCCTTTAGAGGGTCCTGGAGGGTGCATGGGAGTTTGCCCAGCCAATCTACATGTTTTGTAGATTTGCAGAAAGTGTTCAACCGTGTCCCTCGGGGGGCCCTTTGGGGAGTACTTTGGGAATATGGGGTACTAGGCCCTCTGATACAGGCTGCTAGTTCCCTGTATGGTCGGTGCCAGAGTTTGGTCAGCATTGCTGGCAGTAAGTCAGGCTCGTTTCCGGTGAGAATTAGACTCTGCCAAGACTGTCCTATGTCACCAATTCCATTCATAACTTTTATGGACAGGATTTCTAGGCACAGCCCCTGTTGGCTTCATCACAACATGATCTCCAGCTTTCGCTGGAGCAGTTTGCAGCAGAGTGTGAAGCAGCTGGGATGAGAATCAGCTCCTCTAAATCCGAGACTGTGGTCTTGAGTCAGAAAAAGATTGTAATGTCTTCTCAGGGTCAGATACGAGGTCCTGCCCCAAGTGGAGGTAGTTTAAGTATCTCGGAGTCTTGTTCACCAGTGAGGGGAAATTGGAGCAAAAGATCAATAGGAGGATTGTTGCTGCGTCTGCATCTGCTGTGATGCAGGCATTGCACCGATCTGTCGTGATGAAGAGAGAGCTGAGCTGGGAGACAAAGCTTTTGATTTACCAGTGAATCTATGTTCCTACCCTCACCTGTAATCATGACCTTTGGTTAGTTACTGAAAGAATGAGACTGAGGATAAAAGTCAATCCAAAATAAGTCTTCTCAGCAGGGTGTCTGGACTCTCCCTTAGAGAAAGGATGAGAAGCTTAATCATCCGGGAGAGGCTTGAAGCAGCTTTGCTGCTCCTCCAAATTGAGAGGAGCCAGTTGAGGTGGCTCAGGTATCTAATTAGGATGCCTCCAGGACGCCTCCCTGGTGAGGTTTTCTGGGATTTCCTTGGGATTCCCTCGGAAGAGCTGGCCCAAGTGGCTGGGGAGAGGGAAGTCTGGGCCTCTCTCTATAGGCTGCTGCCCTGTGACCTGACTGCGGATAAGAGGATGAAAATGGACGGATGGATGATTTAGAAGTAAGTACATTCCTTGTTGCCTTCTCTGCCTCCCAATTTACTCCCATTCCTGGGAGCTCGTTACCTTTGACTCCCCTAGTTTTCTCACAGGCTCAATCCCAAATACTGAGTTCTACCACTCTGGGTATCCTTCTGGCCACAAAACCAATTATATTATTATTGACCAGACTGTGAGGGATGTTCATGTTCATGTGAGTTTGACACCTATTTATTCCACCTATCACTAGCACACTTTAAACCAGAAATAAACTGCCAAGGTTTGACCTTGTTATTAATTAGACAGAAAAGAATGACGTATTTTATAAAAACCGATACAACTCCTTTTCCCTCACCTTCTAGGCAGGTCTCGATGCAGCAGTCCATCGCCCAGCTAAGGAAGCCCATGAAGAGTCCCAGCAGGATGAGAAAGATCCAGTCCTCCCCAAGACATGAGATTAAAAACTTCTGACATTGAAGCATGCACACTGTGGGTAGAGCAGGAAGACAGTGTGTTCAGAAAATTGAAACGTTATGTCTGAATGCTTTAGCATGCAAACTGTTCATGCTCTTTGAATACATGATGAATTGATTACTGATGACAGATGAATGCAGTCAAGAACACAACATATAAGGGTTGACAGAAAACAACAGGACTGGTTGAAGCTTGACAGTCTGAATTAAACTTAAAGGTCTTTGGACAGAAAACATCATTTTGGTATAATCCATTACTTGTTGTTATTAAAACAAAACTAGAGCCGTATTAATTCCAAAGTGTGAAATGTGAATTTTCCACATTTCGTTGTTCTTTACAGTTTCAAGTAGGTCTAACATTTCCTCTGTAGAGGTTGAAGATTATTGCAACAGAAGAACAATATACCTATATTTTAGTCATCTAAAATATGACTATAATTAAAACAAATTTAGTCAAAGGGCTAAGACTAAAACTGCATAAAAATTTCTTGTCAAAATTAACACTGATCTAATCAGCCAGGAATCGAGAGGCCATACCGTTCAGTGGGATTTTAAAGAGCAAGTCACCCCCAAATAAACTTTTTTTTTTTTGCTGATAAACTAAATAAATGAGTGTCTAATCGTGCTGTAGACACGTGTCGTCAATAATTTGGCACTTCAGTGCATCTTAGCTAAAATTTAAATAGTCTGCCTAAAACTGGCAGTGTTTTGCCGTTGTCAGGTAAAAACTCTGCACTATATTTGAATTTAAATCTGCCACCGCTATTGGCTAAGAGGTATGCTATGATGTCAACTGGTACATTATGATGTCACAGTGCTGTTGTGAGCCTGTCTGTGTGTGAACTTGTTAGCAGCTCCGCCCTCTCGGTCTGCCAGGCAACAGCATTTATTGCAGTTTTCAAACATGAAGTGGGAGTGGAGTTAGACTCCCATAGGGGGTGACTTGCTCTTTAAAGCTAATTCTGTGGTTGTAACTGGGAGCCAATGAAGGGAAGCCAAGAGACGATTTCGTGGCGTGCTGCTTTACCAGGAACTGCCTGAGGTGAGCTGCGTTAACCCGTGTTGTATTCTGAGTAGTGCTGTTGTGAGTATAACTATATGTGAGTATAGTTAACGCTTACTGCGGCACTTGCTGCAGCACCCTGTGCTTTTCTTCAGCAGGTCCAGAGTCTGCCTCCTCTTGCTCACCGATGACTTTTGCCCACTTTCCGTCAGCCAATCAGCCTCCTTTTTGGTTGAAGACCCAAGTTCCTGGGAAAAAAAAAGAAGAAAAGTCACATTTAGTTTTAAAGGTGCAAAATGTAAAAATGAAGTAAGAATTACATCCTGTGGTCATTTTTTTGTCACTGCAGCCCATTTTTCGACCCAAAAAGCTACTATCTCACTGCCAGTTACAGGTCAGCACCGCAATCCAATCCAATTCTATCCTAATTTATTTGTATAGCACATGAAATGCCTAAGTGTGGTGCGCACACGCCTGGGGGAGCGCAAGCTGCCTCTAGGGGGTGCACAAGGTGAAAAGTGTAATGGCTGAGGGAGCTTGGAGCGAGTCTGTCATATCCAGCAGAACCACGGCCAACGGGTACAGAAGAGCGCATGCATGTGTGAGTGATTTTAAAAATTTGGCTGAAATAGCACCTAACGAGTGACAAAAGCATCCTCCGCTCAGCCTTTCACAGAGCTGCGCCACGGTGATTCAGACAGAGCGCTCAGAACTCCTCTGTGCCATCAGAAGCAGGTGCTGGATGCAGAGAAAAGTGATGGCTAGCCTACTCGGTGATTAAAGCATATTTAAGTGATTTTAAAACCACAACATTTATCAAAATGAAAATAGAAGCTTCTTTTTGGGGATCATAACTACAGAGCAATCTCCTCAGTTATGAACCTCACCCCCAGGATAGCTTGTTAGTCCGTATGGCAGCGAAGTGCAGATTAAGCCAGATCATTAAAACAGCCATGAGCCTGTCTGAGGCTAAATCCAGAACTTCATCGTGACTCCAAGCCTCATAGAGACCTTTGATTACGCACAAGTAGGTGACCAGTTAGGGTTTACATCGGAGCAGAAGGAAGGAGAGAGCACTGGCCACAGGTTAAATGTTTTTACATTAAGAGAAACTGTTCAACTGCATTGTTTATGTGCTACTTGGGCACTCTAAATATTCATTTAAAGTTAAATCAAAGGAAATTGCAATGGTATTGAATGTTTATTAATTACTATTTCAAAAATGAAAGTAATGGGAAAAAATGTTGTTTGCATTTTTTAACCGTCTGTGAAGTGACTGTTTAACATGACGTCTGATATATATATATATATATATATATATATATATATATATATATATATATACATATATATATATATATATATATAGAGAGAGAGAGAGAGAGAGAGAGAGAGAGAGAGAGAGAGAGAGAGAGAGAGAGAGAGAGAGAGAGGGATGGACGGACGATAGATAGACAGATGGATGGATGGATGATAGATGAATTGATTGATGGATAGATTGATTGATGGATGATAGATGAATTGATTCATTGATGGATGATAGATAGATTGATGGATGATAGATAGATGAATTGATTGATGGATAGATTGATTGATGGATGATAGATGAATTGATTGATTGATGGATGATAGATAGATTGATGGATGATAGATAGATAGATAGATAGATAGATAGATAGATAGATAGATAGATAGATAGATAGATAGATGGATAGATGGATAGATGGATAGATAGATAGATAGATAGATAGATAGATAGATAGATAGATGGATAGATGGATAGATGGATAGATAGATAGATAGATAGATAGATAGATAGATAGATAGATAGATAGATAGATAGATAGATAGATAGATAGATAGATAGATAGATGGATAGATGGATAGATGGATAGATAGATAGATAGATAGATAGATAGATAGATAGATAGATAGATAGATAGATAGATAGATAGATAGATAGATAGATAGATAGATAGATGGATAGATGGATAGATGGATAGATGGATAGATGGATAGATAGATGGATAGATGGATAGATAGATGGATAGATGGATAGATAGATAGATAGATAGACATGTATTTAGCCCTGTAGCCACGCCCTGGTGCGGGGGCTGGGGGATGCATCGACATAGTCAGGACAAAGAAGGGAGTATGTGGCTAAATAAATTTGGGAACCGCCATTAAAGCACATTTTAAAATAGCATGTCAGTTGGCCAAAGTGCCGCACACAGTAAAAGCATTTAAACCAAAGATTTAATTTAAAAAAATCTAATTCACTGCCAAATGCATAACACACAAATGAAAACCATCATAAAATAAAAACACATAAGATCAAAACTGAAAAATACAACCAATAAAAATAGCAGCACAGCATTAAAGAACAATCACTGGCAAAAAGCTAAATGAAAGAAATGTGTCATTAGGATGGATGCAGCGAAGAAGCCTGGCGCTCCACCAGAGAGAATGCATTCCAGAGTCTGGGAGCAGCAACTCCCCACGAGCTTTATATCTAATTCTTGCTGCGGCATTCTGGACTTTCCGTAGACGGTTGAGGGAGGATGCATTCACACCAATGAGAACTGAGTTGGAATAGTCCGGTCTGTAGGCTATAAATGCATAAATAACAGATTCTAAATGCTGCCTCTTAAGAATTGGCTTTAATAATAATAATAATAATAATAATAATAATAATAATAATAATAATAATAATAATAATAATAATAATAATACATTTTATTTGCAAGCGCCTTTCAGGACTCTCAAGGTCACTTTAACAGAAATTGCATAGTATAGGTTAAAACATTCCTCATTAAGATTAAGAGGTTTAGGGAGGGGAGGTAAAAGGCAGCAGATGTCTGCAAATGAGTTTTTGGTTTGAAGAGAAGTACCTCGGTCTTATTTCACTGAGCTTTAGAAAACTGGAAGCTAACCAGGTTTTAATTTCTGAGAGACATTCTAGAAGCTGACTAATGAAACTTGACTGATTTTAAGCCAAATAAATTTGACTGTCATCAGCATTTCTTGGGATCTGCTTTAGCCACTCCTCCAGTTTCTGCCCCGAGTGCACTGATGACCACAGACACCACCTTTGCCTTCACTATTCAGGCTTTCTCAAGTTCTTCTTTGATGGCCGGTGGCATTTATAGAATGATGAATTTTGTCTTTCCAGGTGATCGTCAATGTAGAATGACACTAACATGTTTATGTTCAGATTTGTACTTGTAAGCAAATGCCCGTAGTCCATTTATACAGTACATTGCCAGCTCAGTGGTCTACTGGTAAAGTGTCCATCCTGAGACTGGGACGTCAGGGGTCAAATCCTGTTAAGGTCATACCAACGTTTTTTTTTTAAATGGGACCCAATGCTTCTCTGCTCAACACTCAGATTTAAGGGGTTGGGATGGGGCAGGGGAGGACTGGAATGAAAATATGGCCCTGGCATTGTTACGACCCGTCAAATGTGAAAGCGGGGTGGGGGTGTTGGCTTGGCGTTGTGTGTGCTGCTCGCAGACCAGTCTATATGCAGCCGAATGTGAGAGTGGGGGCTGGGGGTGGTGGGTTGCAGCTCAGGGACTCATCTCTATGCCACCTATTGTGAGAGCGGGGTGCAGCTGTGTCAGCCCAAGCTGGGCAAGCGGCCCACCGGGACAGTGCCAGAATGCCAGATAGGCCAGTCAACCCCTGGTTGGGGGGTTAAACCACCAATTGGTTCCCGAGGGCAGCTGTGTCTGCAGCTCACTGCTTCTCCAGGGGATGGGTCAAATGCGGAGAACAAATTTCACACACATACGTGTGTGACAACTAATGGGATTTTGACTTTAACTTTAGATGATGTTCCTATTGTTAGTGCTGTTGTAATAAACTGCCTGGCCAAAAACAAAGTCACCATCACCCTAAACAACAAAGAGATAGGGGCCCCTGTTGGATAATCACAGCATGGGCAAATATCTTTCAGATGGCAACAAGTTATTTAACTCTAAATGTATGTATATATATATATATATATATATATATATATATATATATATATATATATATATATATATACACACAGGTGGAGAAACAAGGGCCCAGGCGGGATTCGATCCCCAGATTCCCGGGTGAGAGTCACGCGAGCTAACCAGTCAGCCAAAGGGACATCCCCTTGGCCAAGTAGCCAGGGCACATGATCAATCGGGACACTGTGACAGGACGCTCACACTGTCGCATATACATCATCACCAGTGTGTGAATGTGTGTGTGAATGGGTGAATGTTGTAAAGCATTTTAGCAGGGTTGTAAAATCCTAGAGGGCGCAATATAAAATACAGGCCATTTACTATAACTGTCTGTTTGGTTTTATTTCTTGTTTTTCTGCATTTTTTATTTGTGTACAGCACTTTGATGGTATATTTTATGTATGTAAAGTGCTACTGGAATAAAGGTTGAGTTGAGTTGATTCTCAGAAGTAACACTGAACCATGGGAATCAATGGAATGTAGTTTATTCGTATTTCTATTTCAGTAAAGTACAGAAAAATACCTGGAGATGACTAAAAATATCCCTGCTATTCCAAGGAATGAAACATATACTTGCCATGGGATTCAAAATAAACTCATGACTACTGAGTGACTAAATATATTGTTGAGGAAATAAGCAACTCTATTTAAAGTGGATGAAACCAAGTAGGTGGTGCAAAAACTGACAATAGTCTCAGCAAGTAAGAAAAGCTGGCCTGACAAAGGACAGAACAATCTGCGAGGTAGAGCACCGAAGAAATCCCATTTGAACACTGCTTTAATCACCAGCAGGTTTGATTCGACATCAGAAGGTCCTGACCAGGAAATACCAGACAGAATTCAAAGACTGAGATTTTGTCCCTCTGAAAAATGCAGACAGCAGAAAAACTACACCTAAACAGACTACTTTGTATTGTATCTGCAGTCTATCCATCCATCCATTCTCATCTGCTCCTCCAGGACTGGGTCACAGGGGCAGCAGCCAAAACTAAGAGGCCCAGATTTTCCTCTCCCCAGCCACTTGGGCCAGCTCCTCTGGGGGAATCCCAAGGCGTTCCCTCCAAAGTCCCTCCAGCATGTCCTGGGCCTTCCTTTATGTCTCCTCCAGGTTGGATGTGCCCGAAAAACCTCAGACATTCAGGAGGCATCCTAACCAGCTGCCCGCGCCACGTCAATGGCTCCTCTTGATGTGGAGGAACAGGGGGGGGGGGGGGGGGGGGGTCAACTTCGAGCCTCTCCCGGATGACCAAACTTCTCACCCTATATCTAAAGGAGAGCCAAAATCATTTTGGATGCTTGTATCTGAAATCTCATTCTTTTGGCCACTACCCAAAGCTCATAGCCATAAATAAGGGTAGGAACGTAGATCAATCAACATAGAGAGCTTTGCTTTTCGGCTCAGCTCTCTCTTCCCCTTGATAGACCGATACTACGTCCACATCACCGCAGATGCAGCACCAATCCGCCTATCGATCTCACGCTCCATCTTTCCCTCACTTGTGAAAACAACACAGAGGTACTCGTCCATGACTGGGGTTACTGTTACGGCCATGGATTGATATAAAACTGTCCTCCACTTCCAAGTAGGCCACAGCCCCCCAAAAAGTTCATCTAGAACCGGGTCTGTGAGGGAGAGTTCAAAGACGTACCAGAGTTTGTTCAGAATGCAGCGCCCGCTGGTCTGACCCGTCCACCCCTGCCATGGTTCTGCAAATGCTTGATGGGAGGTTTTCGCTTCGGAAGTTGGAGGAATCCCTTCGGCAGCGACGTGTCCGAGCGCTGGGTGCGTCTACAGCATGGGACCGACTCAGGTGTCTGTACAGGAGTTCACTAAAGGAACTCTAAACTCACAAAGTGTCCCGCTTACAGTCAAATCCGTCATTTTATACACGGAGTAAGAAACACAACCGAGGCGGGACTTTGGTTTGAAGAGGAACTGACCCTCCCACAGTGTCAATCATCCAGAAAACCAACTGCCTCTCTGTTCATACACAAACATTAATAACTGCTAAAAGTATGGGGAAGTACCTGCAAAACGCATTTTTTCTTTTACAGAAAAGAGCAGTGAGAGTTATTAGTGGAAGTGGATACAGGGATCATACTGATCCAATGTTTTCACAACTAGACCTAATGAAATTTGACAAACTAGTAGAGTATAATTTATTAAAACTTATGTACAAAGCACATAAATGAATTCTACCAATAAATATTCAACAGAAATTTGTCAAAAGAGAAAGTAATTATAATCTAAAAGGAACTGATATTTTTAAAAAACCAAGATTCCGAACAGCGATAATGGAAAGATGTATCTCAGTTAAAGGTGTCTATTTATGGAATAGACTCAACAGTGAAATAAAACGATCTAAATAATTTTCTGTATTTTAAAAAAAGTGAAACGTATCACGATGAAGTAATAAGACCTTAAGTAGGCTGATTGACTTGTTTTGTGTTGGGGTGGGGGTTAGATGAACGAAATTCTTTGAGTCGAACAGCTAATGTCTTGATGTGAAAAGGGGGCAGATATTATACATTTTTGCTTCTTTCTGCTCCTTTTCATTTATGATTATTTTTGAACATGAATTGTTCTAATGTAACTGTTATTTGATTGACTGAATGAAATAAACGAAATGAACGAACGAAAAATAGTTTTGTGTTTGTACCATTGTATTTGTTTTCATCTTGTCCAAATTAAATGGACTTCATCAGTTTTTAACATTTTTTACATTAATACAGTTTTTTAAGTGTAATTCTTCATGAAATTTATAAAAATCATCAACAAAAAAAACTTGCAAAGCGTTTACGATCAAACACAATTATCCAAATTATGATCAAGTACACATGTTAGACTTAAGAACTGTCATTTCATATTTATGGGTATTATTAAAAGTTATTACATCTCATTTATGTTTTGTTTTTTATTTAAAGTATTTTATTTATGAAGGAGTTTAAAAAGACAAAAAACTTAAGTCTTATTTGTACTGTAAACATTTAGGCTTTGTTTCAACTAGAAATGCTCTAATCCAATCACGTGATTGAATATCAGACCCAGTCACATGGTTTTGGAACAATGGGAATAAGGTTGAATAGATTGGATATAACCTCATAAAACAACAAGCATGACCATTTAAATTCACCCTGAGATAGAGCTTTTCAGACATAATTACAGCGGCTTGGTTTTAACAAGTTCCACTACATCAGCATTCCTCGTTTTACAGGCAACATCATAACAACACACAATTTAAGGCAGTGGATACAGGAGTTATGAATCTGGAACAGGTGAACTGATAACTAACCAGTGTGTAGAGAGAATGATTGCAGCTGAAGGAAAAACGAGACTAACAAAGGAACAGATCCTGGCAGTTTGACACCAAACATATTTTTGTGGCGAGGAGCTAAGCACCTTACCAACCAATGACCCAATGAGGAGTTCAGTCTATTTGTCATCAGTGGATCCTTAATCTAGTCATGGGTATTTTTCCAAGAACTTATGGAAACAAAAACAAAACCATAAAGGACTCTGCGTTCCCAAATCGTGCCACATCGGAACAATTATGTTTGAAAGATGAATTTACCTGCTAGAAATGTCAAATATTGATTTAGGTGAATCTGGTGTGTTGGCTCAGCAGGTGGCTTTTCTAACAAATTGTCTGTTCTACATTTTAGCCATTAGATCAGTCGTGTCAGTTGATATTTCTCCTAGAGTTCAAGCTCGTGTGTGGTTTAATGTGTCTGCAGAAACCTGATGCTGAGCATGTGAAGTGTTTGATGTTCTTTGGCAATCAGGTTTATCAAGTACAGGAAGCTTATTCATAGCTGTCAGTGAGGATTTCAACCTGAGACTGACCTTTACATAGAAACACACTCAAGTCCTGACTTGTCTAAAATTAACACCTGTTCCAGTTTAAAGTCGTTGTGAAAGCATGTTTAAATATCCTCCATCGAGCCATTCATCACCAATTCAACAAAATGTGACACAAAATAGTCACTGAGTCGATTTTCTTAAGAGTTTGACTTCTGACAAGAAGTATTTCTGAATGGTTCTGCTCTTGGGAACGAAAACCCATTTACAGGTCAGTGGAAGGCTATTGTTGCTTTTAATGTAACCTCTGGTGAAAACATTTGTGCAAAACACCAGCTAGAAAGTACGTCGCCAGAAATACCGCATCCTCCCTGATGTCAGCCTTTACCTGAAAAGCTAAAATGTGCTGTGTTAGCTGTTTAAAAAAGATTTTAAGGCTATTTTGAAGGTTATGCCTGGGTTCCAAGAAACTAAAAGAAAATTGAAAGGTATGTGATCAACAGAAATTCTGATGATGAAGGTCAGTCATCCATCCATTTTCCAGTACTGGTCCGGGCAATGATGGCCAGACCATATACATAAAAAAAGAAATAAGTGTGTCACTGTATTATCGTTGCATTGTTCCAAACAATAGTAGGAAGAAAACTAGTCTAAAACTCCATCAGAGCTCTGTAAAACAGAGTAAGTTCCTGGAACAAGTTGCTATGGGTGAGGAAAATAAGTGACATACACGTGTGTAAAACAGCCACAGGATACAAAGCGGGCCTAAGATTTGGGATGAATTGACCATTCAACTGAATTTTTCTTTTCCCCAGAGGTTTGAAATTCAAGATTTCAGAGCATCAATAAATAAACTCCAGTCAATGTCAAAGAAAGAGGCCAGCCAAACGAGTAAGTGAAGCAACGTCTGAAAGGATCAATCAATCTAAGTGTTTAGGGTTGATTCTGTTAACGGAGGAGATGCTAAGAAAACTATTGAAGGAGTTACAAAACATGAATTGTATCTGTTATGGAAAAATCTATGTTTATTAATTCCTGATCATGGACTCAATCAACTGGATGTAATGTAGTGCTCTCTGCATGCTCACTTACTCATACACACACATCCTTGTCCCACACACACACACACACACACACACACGCACAGACTCTCTCTCTACCTCTTATCTCTCCCTGTAAATAAACCTTGTGAACAGATGCTCGAGGCATTTGCTTCGGCATCTGGCCACAGTTATAACTGTTTGGCTTGTCTGCATATTGTCTCCTTCTCTCTTCACTATAGGTAATGGGTTATTAATAAACATATTTGTTACACCCCTCCAGGCTTAGGATTACCAAGAGGGGCAACACAAGTGTGGTGGGAGCAAACACGAGGAAATGAACTGTGAATTGGAATGTTTATTATGTGGAGTGCCTTGAGACGACTCTTGTCGTGATTTGGCGCTATATAAATACACTTGAATTGAATTGAATTGAATTGAATTGAAAAGGGGTCAAAAGGAGTTTGTTCAACAAAAATTGTCTCTGGCAGGTGAAAAACTGGTCCTTGAAATAATAAAGCCAGAGGTCTGGTTAATCTAGTCTCTAAAATATAACTGAAGATCTGGGCAAGGCCCCACACTCGAATAACACCCTCCATTTGGGTATGTGTCCTCCTTTCGGTCCTGTGCTGCTCCTAACGTGGCCGGCATCTCACGCTCTCCCGTTCTCTCGTTCTCTCTCTCTCTCTCGAAGTGGATGGTTCTCCTCCAGACAAAGATCCCCGTGTTGTCTCTCGTCTGTCGTCTCTTGTCTCTGTAATCCACTTATCGTGTCTCTGTAACTCGTCTCCACGATCTCCGGCTGCAACTCTCTTCCGGAACACTGCTTCTTTACACTGCTTGCTTCTCTTCTCGAACACTCTTTTGCTGAACTCCGTACTTCTTTTTCTGCGCCTCGGACTCTGCGCTCTGGATCCTTCTCGCTGAACTCCCGAACTCTCTGACTGGACTCCTTTTTCCGCTCTGCGCCCTCCGTTCTTCTGGACCTGCTCCTGCGCTCTCTCTGGATCGCGTCTCGTCTTCCTTTGTAAGAAGTCCTGATGAGCGCTGATTGACCCCAGCTAGTGTCAGCGGGCCGGCAGAAGGGTGCGTCTCGGCGTGCCTCTCTCCATGGTGCTGATCAGCTGTCTCAGCGGGTCGGAGAGAGGAGCTGTCCATGGTGCAGTGTTGTAAAAAGGGAGCCCAGGAACGCAGGGGTCATAACAATATTGATAAAATCCATGACATTATTTGGTCCTTTGAGAGCTGGGGTCCCATCACCTTGCGACACCAAGACCCGACGCCGGAGGACTGTCGACAACCTAATCTCCTCCAGCGCTGAGTTTGCTGGGGGGTCGGTGAGACTTTGAAGTCGTTAGGAGGAATGCAGACCCACAAACTACTCAAGCCCTGAGTGGTGGGAGATTCGGTGAGACAAGTTTGTTGTTGTTTTTTGTCGCTTTGTCTTGTGGTACCGAGAGAAAATCCTAGGTGACCAGGGGTTAAATTCGGGTTTTAAGCGTTTTGCCGGAAAATATAAATGCAAACAGATTCCTGGAATGCTGTTTTGGGAGAGAATGGACCGGGGTGATAACTGAAGGGTGGCCTAAGTGAGAGTTGGCCTGGCTTTTGAGCGTGTAGCCTCTAATACAAACGCAACTTGAGTTGTCATTCTCGTTTGTGTGGTCAGAGAGAAAGATAAACAGATTCCGGGAATACTCTAAAAAACTAGAGAAAGATCATGGGAGACTATTTGAAGAGGTGACTTGTCATTGGTGTAATATTTTAGTAGCAACTCAATTTCTTCAAATAATTCCAACATAACTGTTAGGAGCAGGGTGCTAAGTTAACACCAGCCAACCCGCCAAATGCGGGTAAAAAATAATTTTGGTGTTTACTAATAAAATAATTATCAGCCATTTTGGCCGGTGATGAATGAAGCAATCCTGCAACTCATGTCAGAGGTGCTCTAGGCGATTTGTCCCCTCTGTCCTACATTTCCCACGAACACTACCGTAATACGGGTGGCGTTTTAGATACCTATTGGCGGCAGCACGGAGGCATGCTTCGGTCTTCTGTGCAATCTGGTCCAATGACAAGAGCACCACTCCAGACAG